AAATGCGAACAAGAAGAAGAAGAATGTGTGACATACCACACGAATCTTATAACACTGGTGAATCGATCGACACACAAATTATCAAAATCCATTGATTATTGGCCATGTTATTAGCATTTAAAGTCTGACCAATTTTCGTTGCATTTCTCTGAATTGGCACCCTTCCCGAAAGACGTAGTCCTACGTCAAAAAATTAACCAGAAATCTCATTTCATGGACTATTTTCGTGCAGCCGAAGCTACATCCATTGTTGGGCCTAAACTGGGGACAGTAGGTCGATATTAAATCTATGTTCCTGAAAAGTTTTCATGTAAAAATAGTAGGTTTAGTAACTGTTTATCGTGCTTAATTTGTCGTGATCGGTGCACTCCAACCAAAAGTGTATTACATTGAATGTTAGTTGAATTTCCTATCATCCTCTGCAGCGAATGATATAAGTAGACCTCTCAGACGATGTAATGATTTTTATCTTATTTATTTCATGATCTGCCTACGGTTTCGTCTAAACCAGCAAGCATTTTATTTATAACATTGTAGAACGACGCACACACTTGCCACGATTCTCTCCACTTCCCGTTCAGCAGAAAAAGCATACGAAGTCGAGTATTATAGAAAATGCTCGAGAAAATGAGCATTTCTTATTCGCTTTTAGCGAAGACATCATATCAAGAAGACTGGCAACTTTGTCAGAATCTAAGCAACAGATACAATAGCGCTGCACTTGAGTGAAGGTGGAAGCAACGCATAGAAAAATGAGGAAATACACAAACCTTTCTTCTGAGGATGTAATCTTTGCTATCAAATTCGTTCGAAGCATTTACTTTTGAGCGGCAGATGACGCGGTTGTACCTGTCTTATAGCGTTCGTTTGCGAAAATGGAAGAGTTGCCAGTCTTCTTGATTTGTTGTCTTCGCTTTTAGTCTATCTATCTTCTGTTGCATGGAGAGAGCTGTGGAGAAAGCACAGGTCGACATGATTCATTTCACTCACTAATACACTCGACATTTCTCTTCCTCCATTTTCTTGCATAAGATTGCAGCTTGGTATATCTCATCCTCCGTTCATGCAGTATACATTAACATCCTGCGATGATGCATCTTTCATTATTGTAAGCAAATTTTAAATCCCTTGCTTGGGTGGGGCATCCGACTCCAAACTTTAGTTCTAATACTCAATAAGTATTTTTAAGGTCGTTCTCATTCGCCGTAGAACACATAAAGTTCACTTTTTCCATAAAAACTTCAAAAGGCCTATTCAGAGTGAGTGCGCATCCAAATAAATTCAAATTTTGGGATAATAATCAGGACCTGATTTAAAACCAATTGAGTCTGGTGGAGCAAAAATTATATTTTGAACAACCCTAATAACTACAATAGTCGGCTATCAGTCTTAGGCCGTTCGCATTGCTGTTGTATTTTATGGTGACTGTTTCAATTTGAAAAGCACCCCTCGCAATGCTGTGTTGCAATTTCATTATTCGAGCACTATTTTGCACCAGATTGGCAACTGCTTGATTATTCTGTTTTATTTCTGAACGGGTTTCAAACACGAATTGAAATCAGTTTCAAATTTCTTTGGATGTATTTATAGATGTTTCTCGTAAATGTCAAGAGAACTTCATAGTAGTTAAGAGGATTTAATACCATTCTGAGAAGTTCGGAATACTTCGTTAAAATATGAGAGTTTCATAGAGAGCAGTATACAGTTTTAAGGAGTATAATTGAAGTTCACGTAATGTCATAGAAGTGAGTGATATATCATAAAAGACCGGGAAACATCATAGAAGTTCTGGGAAATTTATAGTAGATTTTAAAACTTCATGTAAATGCATGAATCTTCACAGAAGTTCATGAAAGCGCTTGCGTGTTTTACGACAAACGATTATTATCTCATATTATACCAGGCTACTCAGAAATTATTCCAATGATCTTCTGAGGTTTTAAAATCTCCATGAAGTCCTCTTGATATGTTTTCAAGATTTCAGGATCATCAGGTATTATTCTAAAGACTATAGGGTTAATTACCCCATTTCCGGCCTATTAAGCACAACCCGCACTAAGTCTTCCTTAATCTAGCGCAGTTTAGCACCAAACGGAATGCTGTTATTACTGATGGCTTCCAAATTTATTTACCTTTCCGTACGTACCGTAAGATTTGAAAAAGAAAAACCAATCGTTGAGATATTGTCAAAAGTCTAACACTGCTTCTTGATGCCAAACTCGGCCTACGGATTTTAAACTCGGCCTAACGCATTGAAACGCCATTGAAACGCCAATGAATTCACTTCGGCCTATCGGATGAAGATAAAACGTGATTCGGTCGGAGTGCTTCTTTTATTTTTGGGAATAATGGGTGCAAACCTCCATATCACGCGTTCTCAGTGACTTCGTTCCGTAGCTTATAAACTAAAGTATCGTACCAAACGCACAATTGACTTGTTAACTCTGAAATCAAGGATTTATTTGAAGTTTTCTGCTCGATAGGCCCAAAATGGGCGATTAGGCCGAAGTAGTTCTCTACCCTACAACTATTCAAATCACGTTTATTAGATGTTCTCTCATGATGCCAGGTAGCTCACAAATTATTCCAAAAACCATCAGCTGATCAGAGATCCCCATGATAACCTCAGGTTTTTTTTTTTCAAAACTTCAGATTGATCAGGTACCATTCTGAAAATATTCAACTATCCAACTATCCAAATCACATCTCTCAGATATTATCTCATATGACAAAAGGCAGCTGGGAAATTATTCCAAAGACCTTCATGTGTTTTAGGATTTCCACAAAGTCCTCTGGATACTTTGTCAAGACTTCTGGATGATCAGGTACTATTCTGAAGATCTCAAACTGTCCAACAATTCAAATCACATCTTCCACATGTTCTCTCATGATACCAGGGGACTCAGAAAATATTCCAAAGACCTTCAGGTGAGCACGAGCTTTCCATGATACTTGTTGGGTGGTAAAACGAATCTTTTGAATCCGTGAATTTTATTCCGGCAGATTGATCGAAATAGAAAAATTACAAATTTCTGAGAACATTGGACAATGTTATGTTTCGTGCACAAATATAATTATTACATTACACTTACTTTTGGTCATTCGTTCCGCAGTAATTAGTTTGCATAGAGCAAATATATTATGGTAATAAATTAAGGTTTTCTTCAGCTGTAGATAGCTTAGATAAGTTCAAAGTAGTATAAGTTAATCAAGATAGTGTAGTCTAGCTCAATAGACACGTTAGATACAGATAGTATTTAAGTTTAACAGTATAAATTAGGTAGATTAAGGTAACACCGTTTGCGAGTAGAATTAATCTTACTTTTACTTCCTCGATTCAGCTATTGTTCTGGCTTGTTTACATATTTTACCAGTCGACCGCTTGACTTTCATACGATCGACGATCCTCTGACCAACACACGGGTGTAATCGCGTTGAAGTGTATGCGTTCTTCACAGTGGTAGCGGTGGAGTTGCTGGGGCTCGTCGGGCTATTGGACGTATCCCGATTAACAATATTTTTTTCAAGTCTTCAGGATGATATTATTCTGAAGATCTTCGACTGTCGAACAATTTTAAAAAACGTCTCTCAGATATTCACCTCCGATACCAGGTTGCTTAGTTTCAAACACAATCTCCATAAATAGTCAACCATCCTAATCTGTGAGATATTTTCTCAGACATTATTTCATAACTTTTCGGCAGAGATAGAACTCAGGATATTTTTTTAAAATGTTCAGGTTGTTCAGGTACTATTTTGAAGACATCTGGGTGGGCTTAAACTCAGCAACACAAAGGCTTTCGGGGAAATGGTGTTCGGTGAAATGGCATTCGGCCAAATTTTCCATAGTCGCCCCTCCCTAGCTCGAAACCTGGCTACACCCTTGATTCTGATGATATCCAACACTTAAAAGTGCGTCCCTCAGATATTCCCTCTGGATACCACGTGACTCAGAAATTATAAAAAAAGACCTTCAGGTGATCAGATATCTCCAAAATATATTTTTGGACTTTTTTCAATACTTCAGGATGATCAAGTATTATTCTTATGAGCTCCTAATTTAAAGTCAATTGAGCCTGGTGGCGTAAAAACGATATTTTGAACCATATCTAGTGCCCATAACTTTGAAAATATTGGCACCGAAAGCTCATCCTTCATCTTCTCGTGGTTCGAACTCGTTACCTGACACTGGATTGCGTTGTTGTAATCATCGTGTTCCAGAAAACATATTCTTGAATCTGAATAACCTTCTCCGTTGGTGCTAAAATCACCGAAGCAAACCAACTTCGGTCAGATCCGAGTTGTACGATTACCTTCGGGCTCGAGGTAGATAACCTGATATCCCAGTTCGGGATATTGTGGCTAGACGCGATCTGGAGTTTATGCAACTCATATATGTTTTCTTTAAGAATATTAACCATAGATTGTATGTTGGATTAACCTTGTGTTTAGTTTGTATTTTGTGTGTTTTTTTTTGTATATTTGTTTCTGTAATAATTGTTTAATTACAGAGTTGATATAACGTCGAAAGGATTAAGTATATGTTTTAGAAATAGTGAAATTTTTTGAATCATAAATCACATTCCAAATCTCCTTTTCCCTCTCCCGATCCAAACAATTGTCATCCACTAACCTCGAGAAGACCGCGAGTAATCGGTCAAATCCTTTAATTTTAGATTTAAGACATTTATAATGTAGAAAGAAAATGATAACTTGGCTCTGTAAAGTTTATTCGACTGAGCCTGTACAAATAAAGTAATTAACAAAAAAAAAAAAAAAACAAACTTTGCACACGCACACATATGTAGAGATGAATGCCAAACGCTTTTTAAATCTGTGCGTTGAGCTGATCGTGTTGCAGTTTCATTTTTGACAGTTTCAAATTTTAGACCTGTCGAGTAGATTGAAACAATTTTGAAACTCAGCATTGCGAACGGCCTTATGTTTCAAACTAAGCGAATCTCAAAATTAATATTTTAGTAGAGTAGATCTACACTTACCTGATATACTTTTTGTGACTCCTCCTCTCGCTATCGTCGAAGTCATCAATATCATCGTCCTCGTCCTCGAAATCATCCTCGTCATCATCGTCGTAGTTGCCCGGATAGGCACCACCTCCTCCGTCCCCATTCTGGGCTGCATTGATTTCCTCCAGAACTGCTTTCTGCATTTTTCTGAAGGTACTGTTGTTGAAGCTGAAACCATCCTCCGGTGGGCTGCTGTTGTTTGCTCGAGCATCCTCTTCCACTTCATTCGATTCTGCATCGGGGTATCGCTCCAAAATACCCTCTCGTTCGACGGAGCCCAAAGTGGTCGTCATCACTCCGGTTGCATTGATTTCACCACTTCGAGTGACCTCGACCGGAATGCCCGCCGTTGATCGAATGTGTACGTCGAGGAATTCCTGCGTTTGACTAGTGACTTGCATTCGCGTTACCATGGTAGGAGTAATCAACTCTACCAGATTGATAGTGGTTCCATCGCCTTCACCACCACCTCCACCACCTATCGTCGTCGGAGAAGCGTCGACATCGCTTTCGTAAACATCGGCATCTTTGGTTGGTGGTGGAAGGACCACGATGTCCAGCGTTTCCGTGAACTGGTTGTTGGCCTCGTTGATCGAAGGTTGGCGTTCACCCTCATCGGGAACGATTTCGTTCTCCGATTCGTCAATCACTTCGATGCCCTTTTTGAAAAAGTACTCGTTGCCAACCTGTTTGATGTCCTCGATTTCGTCCAGGTCGCTCGGGAGGATCTTCAACACCCGGAAGTCCTGCGAATGGAACCGGGAAAGAAGAAAGGAAAAGCAGTTGCAGTTTAAGAGTTTTGTATCTTATCATACAGCATTTAATAAGATAATTATTTCCAACAATTTTTGATATAAATAACAGCTGTGATCGGAACCCAGGAAAACATTATTTTTCTCTACAACTTGACAGTCAGACGTCATTTCAATCAGAAATGCCATTTTCGTACTACAATTTTTTGAAAAATTTCGAAAACGCCATTTTGAAAATTTTATAAGATCTAGAATGGACGAATTCTAGCAAAAATGTGAATCATTTCCCATTACAAACAATTATGCAAAGTTTCATGCAAATCGGAGAATGTCGATTTTTTCCGATTCATCATTTGGCGTGGATCTGCACAATACACAAATGTTATGTCAAGAACGTATTTTGTAGACAATGCCCATGAATTGCACTCTTTGTCATTTCAACTGTTTTGAGAATTTAGAAAAGTTCGTAACTGACGTCATGTCTCGCCGGGGTTTTCTGGAAAACACTTGCGCGAGAATAAAGCGTCGATTGATTCCTCGAGGCTACTGGCTGTTTTCAAAATTCTCTCATATAAATACCACATTTAGCAAGAGTTCAGGTATCAGTGTGAAGTAATCATCAGTACAACATACCCAAGATGAAGTCGGCTTTTGCTTTTGCATTGTGTTTCTGCCTTCTTACGGTAAGTAATAATGTTCGCTAAATCAATGAAGACATGAAACATTGTAAACGCGCATTTCGTTTCATAGGCTGCCATAGCTGCTCCGCAACCTGGACTATTCAGCACTCTAACCGGTATCGTAGGAACCGTCGTGAATGGCACCATCGGTTTGATCGGTACTGTGATTACGGACACGACAACAATTATCGGTAACGTTCTAACTGCCACTATATCTGGTGTCCAATCGTCAGTGAACAGTACCATCTCTACCATCGGCGGTCTCATCACAAATGTTACTTCCGGAGTGGTCAACGCCACCGGCACTGCTTTGACAAACGCCTTCACAGCCGTATCGAGTGCTCAAACAGCCCTGAACAATATTGCTACAGCCGTCGTCGGTAACATTTCTGCCAATGTGGGCACAGCGCTGAACAACACCGTCTCAGGTCTCCAGACACTTATCAGCAACTTGAACTCTACCATTGCTTCGGCTATCAGCGCTGGCACCACTGGAACCAGTACTTTTGTGGACACTTTGAACAATCTTACGAGTGCCATCAAAACTGCTGTTCAAAACGTAACCGGAACGTTGACCTCGGTTCTGCCGAACGTCACCACCGCCATCCAGACTCAGCTGAACGGCACCATTGGTACCATTACAGGACTTCTGTCCAATGTAACTTCCGGAGTAGGAACTGCTGCCGGCACTGTTCTGACGCAGGCTGGAACTGCGCTTTCGAATGCTGAAAGCACCCTTGGAAGTTTGACTAGCGCCGTGCTCGGCAACTTGACTACTCAGGCCCAAGCAGCTGTCCAAACTGCGGTCACCAACCTGCAGACCCTGGCAAGCACACTTAACTCGACTCTGGCCAATGCCATCAGTGCTGGAACTACGGCTGGCAGCACTTTCACTTCGGTTTTGAGCAACCTCACCAGTGCCATCAATTCGACGGTACAAGGTATCGCCGGAACACTGTCCTCGTCGGTTCCCACTCTGATTAGCAACATTCAGACTCAGTTGACCAGCGGTCTGAGCACCCTCACTAGCCTCGCCTCATCTGCCGGAACCACCGCTAATACCACTCTTTCGAACGTTGTGTCCGCCCTGACCAACGCCAAATCGACTCTGGCCAGTGTTGCCGGTAGCGTGCTGGGCAACGCAACCGCCCTTCTGTCGAGCAACCTACAGACCGCCGTTACGGATTTGCAGTCGATTGCCAGCACGCTGAACAGCACACTGGCCACCGCCATCGCTGATGGTACCACCTTGTCGAGCGGTGTCCTGTCTGCCCTGCAGACTCTGGCCAGCAACCTCAACACGACCGTCCAGGCGGTGGTTAGTGCTGTAGTGACGGCTTTGAACACTACCACTACTACTACCACCACGACCACCACGGCGTCGCCGACGACGACCACCACTTTCTGTGGCTTCCTCTGCCAGCTGCTGAAGGCTTTTGGATAAATGTGTGGACGATTAGTTTCGATTACGTGTAATGTTTCGTGTGAAACAGGTTTTTGGGAATAAAGGTTATTTGCATAGCAATTTATTTGAATGTTTATTATTTTGGCCCATAATTCTTCGACAGTTGCCAAGCTTCAAACTCGCTACTTAGAAATTAACTCCACAATTAACGACAGATTTTCTTTATTTTTTTTAAATTGGCATTTCCATGACATATGATTTATAGGTTTTGTCTCCTAAAATCTCTCAAAATATCCCGCCAACAAAGTTTAAAGACCATTTTTGGATTTCAGTAAATTTTGAACCAATGTTTGACGAGGAATAAATACAGTTGATTTGGCTCGTGATTTAATTCATTGTAGGTATTGATAAATATCAATTTGAAAAAAGGCAGCAACGGAAACGTAATATTAAAACGATAAAATGCGTAACCTTGGGAAAATTCTCCTTTACTGCGTAGCTACTCAGGTTTACGGTCCTGCCCGAGATTGTTTTAGTCAGAGGAGTGGAGCGAAGGACAACCGTCTCGAATGAGTTTCCACAAGAAGCTTCTTTTAGAATCTTATGCTTCTTTAAAAGCTTCTTTTAGAAGCATTTTCTTTAGAATCTTCTTTTAGAAGCTTATTCTAGGCTCTTACCCGTCGCACCGCTCTCTGATGAAAACAACATGGACTTTACAGTAAATCGGAGAAGCTACGCAGTAAAGTCGCAGTTATCCAGGTTTGAAGGAGCAGTCAAACGTCCAGGCAGCAAAAATGGCAGTCAAACAAGTAGCGTTTTACTAAAATTACTCCAACTTTTAACATATTCAACACATCAAGGTCCAAAAAAATAATACTGGCAAACCTTGAATATTTGATCAACCAGCAGACAGCGGTAGGGGACAGGAGTTTTCAGAACCAAAGCTCATGCACCTCTAGCTAACTAGCTAACTTGTATTGCTAGTTCACCGACCCAGGGATACCAGATAGTTTTGCAAAATGTTTGTTCTAGCCATTTTGATTTTTCTTAAACTTTTCAAAATTACTTTTTTTTTTCCAAAAGATTCCTGAGAAAATTTACATTTACAAATATATTTTCTTTCCTATCATGCACAGCAAAAAAAGTTGTTGAATATTACATCGAAACTGCTGCAACCAAGTCAATTCATCGGTTGTGTAATATAACATTGTACGATGTACATCGATTTTGCGAACAAAATTACATCCATTGATGTAATATTGTATCTGCTTTTTGCTATTTCATCATTATTTCATACATCAGCTTGAATTATGTTGATCGATATTACATTTTTTTTTGCTGTGTGGAAAAAAAAAGTTGGACTCTCAACAAAACCGAAAGATAATTTTTGCGGTTTTTTAGTTCAAATTTTACCGACGCCAAGGAGGAAGCTTCCACACCCGAACCCTACCTATCGACCCATCAACTCATAAACCGGATATACTTGCCTTCCGAAGGAAGGCATGATCAGAGATTTTATGTATCAAAAAATCTTGGCGGCACCGACTGGGATCGTACCTAGGCCCATGCTTGGCATACACAGTTTTGCTCACGAACTGCTTATTCGATAATAACTTTGCACAGAGTTGACGAAACATAGTGTTGTTTGAAGCAGTCGATAGAATAGAGTTTGAGCTTCTTACAAATACGTAAAAAATATATATTTTAATTTTAGTAATAAACTGTATTTGATTTTGCGTTGCAAAAGTGATGTGAGAAATGCTCGCTGCACATCTCGGACTTTAAGTATATAAATTCATTGGTGTTGATTCAAATGATAAGATTTACCTACTCTTTACATGTCTATAGTAAACTATGATCCTAATCTATCAATCACTTTAAAGAACACAAAATTTCAACAACTGAGTGAAAAGTTATTAACAAATGAGCAGTTTGTGTGTACTAATGTGCATGCCAAGCATGCCTAGGCCCTTTGGGGTGAGAGGCAATCACGCTCACCACTACACTACCAGCGCCGCTAACTAAAAACAAATGTATTTACACGTAAATAGGTCTGTTCCCGTACTTGCTTTTCTGTAAGATTTTGCACAGAAAAAAAGCAAAAGCTTGTTCTCGTACTTGCTGCACTATATTATTTTCTTACAGTATCTTACAGAGGGCTACAGCAACTTACAGCAAAAGCAAAAGAGCAAGTACGGGAACATACCTATTTTTTTTTTTTGAGAAAAGGATAGCAGTTCCAGGCCAAATTGCGAAAATAATAATCAAATTTAAGATTGTACCTCTCAGAATACCAGACCATGAACCAGACTTGGTAAAAATACCGCGCGGTGCGGATTGGTGGCAACCTACTCATGTATGAAGGGCACTGGATTTCTTTGATAAACCACCCGGTGTCGGTGCAGCATGTTGGCATGTCAACAAACCAAAAGAGAAAACCGAATGCAGTGCTATGGGCTTCGGCTCGGCACCGCACGGCACTGTGCGGCACTACGCCACCGAAACGCTCGTGATTTATTTTCGTACCATTGAATTCGACGTTTAAGTTGCTTGAACTAAGAATTGAGTAATCAGTAAGTTTGTTGATTTCCAACTTTTTCTGTCGGCTTTCAAGTCACTTGAACGCTCGCTTGAACGCCAGATAGGGACTGAATTTTTAGCACAGCGTAGCTGGATCGATTAATTGTTGATGCTAGTTTAAAGATTTCTGAATTCTTGAGATTCTAATGCTTATATATAAACTTCGTATTCAAAAGAAGATGAAGATGATGACGATTCCCTGATGACAAGAAGATCGAGAAATCCGAGTTTTCCGTCTTTTTCTACCTCGTCAGTGAATTTTATATCCTTGTGATCAGGCAGAGACGAACCAGCCCACGGCTGAAAGCCTCTCTAATAATGAAAAAAAAATCCTTGTGTTCAATTTACCCCCGGCTTACGAAAATCATTTGTTTGATTTATTAGGAAAATTTAAAAAGGTACAGAGATATTAAAATTTAAAATTAACAAATTGATATTATAGAAGGAACACTTGTTAGGTGATTTCTGGGAAATGGTGTATAAAATGTTAAATTAACTGGTTTTGTTGTTTTTTTTTCCTTGATTTGTTTTCCGTCGATCTTGCTTTCCGTCTTGAGTACCAATGCTGACACCAGGGAGGCAGCTCCTACACCTGGACCCTACCTATCGACCCATCAACTCATGGACCGGGGAGTCCCGGCGGGGACCAACGGCTTTACTTCCCTTTCGAAGGAAGGTGTGACCAGAGATTTCTTGCCATCCTGGCGGCGCCGACTGGGATTGAACCCAGGCCTGCTGGGATGAGAGGTAATCTTCCTTTCTTCTGTACCTACTAGTCTTAAGGCCGGTGCACAATGCATACGTTTTCGGTTTTTTGACAGATAACTAACTGTCAAAAAACCTGAAAACGTATCCATTGTGCGCCGGCCTTTAGAGTTACCTCGATGGTATTATGGGCCAGCTGGTCACTATTATGGGTCACTCAGTTCTACCAACAATCAATACGAAACTAACGATTTTAAATTGGCTCACTACTTGACTAGCCTATTGGTCCCAAGCAAATCGATTAACGTATCCCATTCTAGTCAAAATTCTAGTACTACACAATGTTTGTTTTGATTTACAATGAAAGTTTGACAGATAAAATGAGGGGTTCGTGGATTTTCCTATGTTTCGAGGGGTGAATCGATTAGCTTGGGACCGAAGAGAGTACCAGAGCTGAGCCAAAAAGTTGAGCACATTTCTTCGGGACCTTCTAGTCTTAGAGTTACCTCTATGGTTCTACCTAAGAGGAAGAGGAGATAATACGGGGGCGAAAACGAATCACTTTTCTGTCAAACACGAACCAGCACATAATCTGTTTTCCGTTCATTGTTCACAGAGAACAGTGCAGCACCGACAAACCGACATGAAACTAAAACTTAACTCTTCATCGAGAATCCATAACGGCGGATTCAAATGTGCAGCGATCCCATCTGTCAAAACCATAGAAATTTGTTATCTACACACTTAGAAAAATTCATGTAAATTTAGGTGCTCTGAGACTGACACATACGAGCGTCAATTTTGACATAAAATTAAGTCATATTAGACGCAAAATTCAGCTCAATCAAACCTACTTATCGTCGGGTAACAAACTTTCAGTCTCGGAGCACTTAATTTAACATGACATGTTTGTTTACGTCTCATCCTTTATGTCAAAGATAGATTCCGTCACGTGTAAAATTAGGTATTTCTAAGTGTGTAGATAAAAATGATTTGCCCGGAATAGATTAGACACGAACCAACTCATATATTTAGTATGTGTGTTCGTGACTACACGAAACGAAAATCAATTATTTAATTCATGTGTTTCACTTATACATTTTTTCCAAAGCATCAGCCTTATACATTCCATAAGATAAACCACATAGGTCCTATTAGAATGCATAAAAGGTATGTGTGACCGCTTATCCATTTCATTTGACACATGATCTTTATTAACTTTTTGCAAGGCGTCTGTTTATTAGTTGACTTATACAATTTATGAATAATCAGCAATGGAAATTTGCCAAAAGGTATAAGGAGATTTCTATCCGTGTAGGATACACATTTTTCGCGAACACGGCGGCAGATGTCAGTTTTGTGCTTTGATCAGAAATTTGATGATACATTTTATGATCATTCATGTCGGTTTGTCGGTGAGTGCAGTGCAAAACATGTCTGGTACCTCTATATATGCATTTAGACAAATATATCATATTGACAATATGATCCATTCATGCCTTTTCCAAATATTGCAATGGCAACCCGCAAAATATTTCTTCACGCACCATCTAGCGTTGAAAAAGGTCAGCAACGATCATTCAATTACAATCGAGGAGTGCGAATAGAGCACTTATTACAAAAGTAAGAGCAAATTATTTTCATTAAATTGTGTATATTACTTTAAAATTTGTCTGACATTTCACTGTTGTCATCAAATAAAACAATATGCTGAAATACATTCATTTGAAATATTTAACAAATTTTCATTTGGTTTACCCCTCGTGGTGCTAA